ATGACCAGCCGCACCGCGAACCTTCGCCAATTTCCCATATACTTTTTGAAATTTTCGAAAATTCTGAGTTAACCGTAAAGATTGCCATCTCGCCTATGCCACTTTTATAAGTATTGTTACTTCCATTCTTAATAAGAAATTTAAAGAAAAAGTTTGGCAGCCGTTTTTGGAGAAAAAGTTTGGAAATTACCCGGGAGCTATTTGGCAATGTAGCCGCCACCCATTTTAAAATATTTTTTTTCAAAATCTCAAAGCTTCGCTCGAGCCGTTGAACCAAGGTTTCCCTTGAGTTTGGAGCAAAATCCTATGGTTTGAGGCACTAGAGTGTTCCACAGACGGGACGAACAGACCAGACTGACGTTAAAAACACACTTTTCGGTATCAGGGGACCCCAAACCGTGCATTTCCGTCCGAAAACATCGAAACATCAATTTTCCGCACATTACACAACTTTCCCCTACCACTACTTAATTTCCACACACACACAACCACACACACAACACACACACAACACACACTATATATATATTATATATATATATATATATATTTATATATTATATATATATACTGTGGCGCACAAATTTGCATTATATTAATTTAATATTAAGATAGTTTTCTCCACGCGAAAAGGAAGTAGGTCCGCACGACTGGGCTCTTGTCACAAAGGGTCCTTTTCAAACGGGCCCAGCGCCTCGTCCGTCGCCGCAGCTGCCCCGACCGCCCGGCAATAGAGTGGCAGTTCGCAGCAGACTTATTTACGACAAGCCGTCCAAGTGCGCGCGGCGGGTCGACGCTGGCCGTCGCACAGCCCATCGTCGCTGCGCGATCGTAGGAAGACCCTTCGCCCCACCACACCTCGGGAGCCCGCCGCGCAACTTAGCAAACAATGACCGCCCCGCGTCTTGGCCCAGAGACAGACCCCCCGCCGGCCATACCGCCTCGCGCCCGCACAAGGAATCTCCCTACAACACTTCCGGAAATCCAGAGGTTTCTGTTTATAGCTCCGCGCCCGCCTCGCCGGCTGCCGAATCACGGCACCAAAGAATCATATACCCGAAAACAAGCCGCTTGAACACGTGTTTGCGGCCCTGGCAGCTGCAAACAAGATGCTTCCAGAATTTGTGTGTTGTTGTATGAGAGACGAGAGAGAGAGAGAGTAAGAGATCAAGAGAGAGAGACGACTCGAGACGAGAGAGAGCCAGAAAGAAGACGCAAGTACTGAGGCTTTGAGATACATAAGAGCCGACTGGAGACTGACGGAGAGAAGAGAGAGCAGAGATCGCCCTTG